CTTGTTGTTTGTCATTTCTCCGATCACAAATGCAGACATGGTTTTATGTTTACGCGGCGCGATGCAACGTAACGTGTAAAAAGACAGTATAAGTCATTATAATCCGTAATTATGTCCCCACTGGATGCAACAAATGCCTCGTTTGTAATGGGTTTTCATGTTTTTGAATCGTCGCTCCGGCTGGACAGGGCATCACAGTATGTTAAGGGGCATAACATTTCCGTCGCACGCTTGAGGTATTCGGCCAATCACAACGCACTGGATAGCTGGCCAATCAGAGCACACCTCGCTTTTCAGACTGATGAGCTTTGTAAAAATCGATGCGTTTCAGAAAGGCGGGGCATAGAGGAGAAACAATAATGTACAGTATGTGGAAAATGTGTTTTTTTTTGTTTTTTTTTTTTTACTTTAAACCGCATAAACATTTCTTTACACCAAATACTCAAAATAATGTTCTTTTTAGCAACATCATATGACCCCTTTAATGGACTTCTGTCAGCTTGTTGAACAAATACTTTTATTTAAATATCCTACATATGATGACTGAATTTCTGTTTCTGTTTTCATCATAATCAAATCAACACTGTAAACGAAATTCTACAAAACCTAAGTGAAAAAATCTAATTATCACGCAAAGCGATAAAATGGCTTCTCTTCCCTGCAATTGATATAATGAAGAATGTGAATATTTAACTTCAAGGTAAACCCATAGAAAAGATAAACGGGTATCTGTATTAATTTCAGCATTTGTAGCAGAGGGCGATCCTCCCAGAATGGCGGCAGAGCCCCAGCATCCACGTGATGTATCTTCACATTCTCTATAGCAGGATGCTTTTGTCCATATCAGGGATTTCCTGCAAGTCATAAGTTATTACTTCTATGAGTCTGTTTTGGACTTTCTTTGCGAGAGCGCCAAAGCCACAAGAAGGCAATGATCTAACTGAAATTCAATGACGTCAAGGCTGTAATGTGATTGTTATTAAGGCACACGTGATCCAAGTTGACCGTTACGCTTTCTGCAATAGTAAGGCCCCGTGTCCACCAAAGCGTATTTTTAACTCCGCACTCATCCTTCAGCCAACGTCCAACTGGCCTCCCCAAGATATCACTCCGGACGACTATTAGACCTTCAGCAAATCAAAAACCTTGCAACGACCCCACACCGAAGGGAACCCCAACATATTTAATCCACAGATTAAACCTCCTAACACAGGAAACGCAAGTAAAACCTCCAGATTCAAGCTGAACTGGTGCATTTAATATAAAGTTTAATAGCCTCATTGAGAAACTCAGTGCGAGGGTTAATTAAATGTTTGATGGTAGTTCAGGTCTAAGAAATTGCATATATTCCTATAAACTGGGAAATTCACATTTTCCCTCTCTTAAACTCCTTCTTTCCTCACTTTCTTTCTTTCTGCAACTTGTGTGAATGTGTTAGTGCATGCGTTTGTGTTCGATTAGTTTAGTTTAGATTTGTCCAATAAAGTCTTATTTATATTGAAAAGAGAAGTATCTTGTGTTTTGTGCTTACAAATGAATGTCTCAAACTGCGATCTTGTTACCGTGCTAATAAATAGTGTTTTCACTATACTTTGGATATTAATATCGATTTCAGAGTTGATGCTATACTGCCCATTCAATGAATCGCTGGCCAATTCAGTTGATCAGCCATAAAACAGTAATTCTGTCAAAATTCCCTATAAATATCGTAATTAAATCCCTTTGAACTAAATTTACCTGTTTCCCTTACATATCTTTTTATAATTTTGTTAATAAAATACCTTTTATTACACTGGTGTTGATATTACAGTAAGATGCTCTACAAGTTACAAGTTTTTGATATCTTATGTCTGAAATCCTTCAGACTGGTCATATGACAAACTCCCAACAATTTATATTTATTCAACAATAGTTCTTGATTAAATGGTATGGGTAGAGTCCTTAGCTGGTGCTGCAAAATAATACAATGAAGCAGTCATCTGACTCACCTCACCTAAGTGAAGTGTGACCAAAACTCACAATATTAATTTGTGTTCCACTGCATTCTGGTGCCCAGTTGTGAGAGAAAAAAACATGTGGAAACCATGTGAGCCAAATCTCTACATTGTCATATTAATTCTACTACATCAGTTCATTCTTACAGCTAATACCAAAATGTATCACAATTAAATATTGAGCTACTCGTTACATATGCAATGTTTTTGTGAGCCAAGGCAGACATAAAAATTAAAATTTATTCAGCTCCGTGTGGACTCTACTGTGCAGGGAAGGTAAGACTTACGGCAACCCTTCTCGTCGCTCTTGTCGAAGCAGTCTGGAAAGCCGTCACACTGCCAACCTCCAGGAATACATTCACCATCACTGCACATAAAATTTCCTGGAATGTTGCACTCTGTTGTAAAGTTGTTTCCAGGTAGAAGCTGGCAATCTATGGAAAAGAGACAATTGTATTTATAAATATTGAAGATCTATTAAAGATTATACAACTGGTGAAAGGATTCTAGAAACCACATTCAAGACACAATTGTAAGATAATTGTAAGACAAAAAACTTTGAGTAGTTTAGTCTCTTAATTTATCTTATTTAAAGCACCACTGCTACAGCCATGCAAACAGTGCATGACCACAAATTGACCACTCATTGACCACCCTCAAAAATACATTTTAAAGACAATAATTGTCACTTGTGCCCTGTCCAGAGATATTAACCCACTGGATGTGTTTTTGGAATCTGGAGATAATTTAAAATGCTCTCATGTTTGTGCTTATTTCAGTTACAGAGTACATATTAACGGCTCAAGTCTGATTAAACTATTCAGTACAATAATGTGAGCAACATTTTTTTAAGCAAGTTTGGTTAGTAAAATCTATGTATAATATAATAAATGTATTTTAAACCATTTGTGTACTTACCAGCATATATATATATATATATATATACACACACACACAGTACAGTCAAACCAAAATTATTCAGGCACCAGATATAATTTTGATATTTTTTTTACTAGTGGGTGCAGGTCATAGTTCATTCATGTAAGTGAGGATAGCAAAATAATGAAAAAAAAAATTTGATAAAAATTTGGTACCAAAAATTATTCAGACACGTTGACCTGACCATATTTTGCTTAAGTGTTATCTGACATTATGATGATGAATATGTTCCAAAACAGTTTAACTCTGAGTTTTTGTCATATTTTATTACCATTTTCTAAACTATAGCGAATAAACTGTGAAATGTTGAAGGTGTCTGAATAAATTTTGGTTTGACTGTGTATATATATATGTATATATGTGTATATGTGTGTATATATATATATATATGTATATATGTATGTGTGTGTGTGTATATATATCTGTGTGTATGTATATGTGTGTATATATATATATATATATATGTGTGTGTGGATGGGTTATATACAGAAATCTAAGTTATACACAGAAATTGCACAAAGAACACTCCCTTTATCAAGTCGCAGTTCAAGCTCACTGAATGAGTGAAACAATAATACAAACTGTCTGTACTGTACAATTAATCTCTTACTTACATTGTGTTAATACTTTGATTATAACGAAATGATTCGCAAGCATGCCAAACTCACACTGAACAAACTCTGGCATATTGAGTGGATTTTGACTTAAAAGCCCCTGACTGACCATTTCACACACTCAGTGAATTCTGTGATTGGCTACAATTGTATGTTATTGTGTATTATATGTTTATAATTGTTTTAAATGCTGCTTACTCATTTATGAGAAGGAACCAAGTAGAGGACACATCTACTTTTTTGGCTGATATAATCCTTAGGTGTGTAAATATAATTGCCGTTTCATTATTTTTTCAGTTTTATTTAAATTTGTAGTTAAAATAACTAAAAATAAATGTATTTTAAAGTTTAGAATTAGACAGCCTTTGCACACAGGCTTACGCTGGTAACTCATCAAGAAAAGTGACTTTCCTCATCAATATAGGCTATATTTTTTCACACTTTTCTCATTCTATATTTCTGCCGTTCCAAAAGCGCCTCCTACTGGCAGAGAATGAATGTTCATTTTCAATCCAGTCTGTAGTTTTTGTTCAGATCAATGCGAAAATCCACCCACATAACCCCGTTTTAAATTAATATAATAATGTATACTTCTGACTCACCCCTGGTTTAAACGCTCAGTTGAGAGGTTTATTATTTTATAATTTATTTTGTTTTTGTGAAAACCTGCATCTCAACTGTAAATCTGTTGCTATTTTGTTGTCTATGCAGTGAGTGTTTCGTGCATTCTGGTCTTTCCTGTCACAACATAATTGCATCCAAGACTTTCACTTTGATACTTGTGTATATGCTATAGTGACAATAAAAAATGTAAATTTATTTGAATTAATTCATGTTTTAATTTACATTCATTCAACTGGTTTATAACACTTGAAAGAGTTGGTGATTATTAAAAATGTATTTCCAATTTTAAATGTTAGATGATAATGTTAACTAAATAAAATAACTAAAAATTGTCAGCATGATAAAAACAATTGGCAGCAAGAGCATTCTTTGTGTGGAATATGTAATGAAATGAGCTTGATTGCCTGGTTGGAGTGAGACATTCTTGACATCTGAATATATCACACATATGATAGTATTATCTTTCAAATGTAACCGCACAACCTAATTAGACCCTACAATGCAAAAGAATCATGAGCAATAAACAAATATCCTACTAGAACACTGGACATTATACAATATTTCCAGTATTATATACAGTACTTAATTAAACCTCAATATGATTCTTTTTCTCTCGCGTTTGATCTCTCACGCTCCTAAAAGCTTATGTTAACAGAGTCAACAGATACATACAGATTGAATTCAAAAACAAAACTCCTAACTTTTTACTAAATTTGTATGTACAGATCAGCAAAAGAAATAGAAGAAAACAGTTGCAAAACATGCAGTGTATTAAAAATGAAGTCAAAGATTTTGCCTGCAATTTATTGATTTTTTTTTTTTCAGTTTCAATGACATTTTATTCAGTTTCAATTTATATTTTCATAAGTTTCTTGAAAAATTACATTAATTTTAATTGGCACAAAGGTTATACCATACCTCTGACTGCACTGCATAACTGATTGCTGCATAACTGGCATCCACAATCCATAGATCAAGATCAACTAACATGATGATCAGTTAACAAGTTGATGAATATTTTGAGTAAAAAACCCAGATACATTAATGACTAATATGTCTGTATGACACAGCACCTTTGTTATGGAGAAGTATCAAAACTGTGTAAACACTCATGCTAAACATGCATAACTTTTACAAACCCATTGAAATTGTTTTATTGAAAGTATAACATTAAACGTAATTAAGAAATCATCAATTACCATTAAATATGAAGTGTCTGTATGATATATGTAATTTACAGGGCTTGTTTTTATTGTTTTATGGAGGGCTTGTCAAAATAGGCCAGTAAGAGACTATTAACTACTACTGTTCCTTTTAATTACACAATTGTCTCATTAAAAAATATCTACAGATTTATAAAACCAGACACATATGATCACATACTGTCATAAGATATGTGGTGTACTGAGTGTGGACTCATGTTAAACATTTAAATTTTGATGAATGGTATGTCATAAGATGTCAATTTCAAATGAGTCTGAAGTTATCATTTGTAGCTTTAAATTTTGTAAGTCCAGAAGTATTTGTCTTTAGGTCCTTTTCTATATTTATTTATTTCTATGTTATGTGTGGCCTTCTAACCTTAAAACTCTGTATTTGTGTGAAAGTCTCAGGTTACGCATTTAACCATGGTTCCCTGAAAATAGGGAACGAGACGCTGCGTCCCCTAGGGGGTGCTATGGGGAATACCTTCAGCATGACCAGTGTCTGAAGCTTGAATGTAAAAACGACAATGAACTTGACACTGGCAGGCGGCAGCCTATGATGTAATTAATAGAGTGACTGCGGGTATAAAAGGGCACCTGAGGAATACGTCATTCTCTTCTTTCTCTGTAGGAGACGCAGTCAGGAATGGCCGAAGCATGGCAAAGGGACGCAGTGTCTCATTCCCTATTCTCAGGGAACCATGGTTACATGAGTAACCTGAGACGCTCCCTTTTGAAGGGAACGCCACGCTGCGTCCCCTTGGGGGTGCTATGGGGAACAGAATACCCACGCCGCCATTCTTAGGGATGAGTGCCCAAATAACTGGCTTCCCTAAGTCAAAGACTCAGAGGAACATCATCCCTGAGGCCCCAGCAATAATTGCTGTGGCCAGAGCCTGAGCCTAACAAAGCCTATTACAGGCAGGCTGAAAAGCTCGGCCAACGTCATAGACCAGAGCTCTTAAAAACAGAGGCCTAAACAAGGCCAACCATGTTCTGGACCCCGCCGAGTGGAGGCCCCAATACAAAAACTCTCGTTTGTAAGAGGAGGCCTAACAGCACTCGGCAGTAAGATTAGTAGCTAAGGAGGCTCCCAGAGAGCCTATACCTAACACACCAATCTATTCGCCAACCAAAGTTATGGAGCTCTAAGAGTGGAGGTCTCAACATAACGACTCTCTAAAGCGAGAGGAGACCTGGCTACACCATGCCAGAGACAGTTAGCGAGGAAGAAAAAAAGAAAGAGCCTACAAACTAATAGTACTGCCTAAGCGGAGCTCTGAAGAGCGGAGGCTTCAGCAGGATGACTCTCTAAAAAAACGAGAGGAAGCTTAACAACATTCAACCCTGGTTGTGGAACTCTTTTAAGAGTGGAGGTCTCAGCATAACGACTCTCTAAAATGAGAGGAGACCTAGCTACACTCAACGCCAGAGACCGTTAGTGAGGCTCAAAAAAGAAAGAGCCTACATACTAATAGTACTGCCTAAGTGGAGCTCTGGAGAGTGGAGGCTTCAGCAGAATGACTCTCTAAAATGAGAGGAAGCCTAACAACACTCAATCCTAATAGGGGAACTTTTAAGAGTGGAGGTCTCAGCATAACAACTCTCTAAAATGAGAGGAGACCTGGCTACACTCAATACCAGAGACAGTTATGGCGCTTTTCCACTGCATGGTACAGCACGGTACGGTTCACTGTACGGTTACCAAAACGTGACGTGTAAACTCTGCTGATCACGGATTGGCCGGAGAGAATCGTCACTACCTGCGTCACTGAACTTGCGACACAAACCCAACAGAACCGCTAGATTTAAATCAGCACAGCCAGTGAAGCATCGAACGCAACTGTTTTGAACAAGCGCACCTTTTTTAACAACCAAAAAGTGGCTGTTTCGTTGTCTGTTGAGGAATTACAGACGTTCCTCTCATTGATAGCAGAGGAGTGGATCCAGCGAGCTTGATGGGGCGACGCGGAATGAAAAAGTTTTTCAGGAGTCGCGGCAATAGAGGCGGCGCAACTATAACGACATGTGAATAATCCCGTCCACTCTAAAGCGGTACTGAACTGCAGTGGAAATGCAAACCGAGCCGTGCCGTGTCGTACCGTACTGAGCAGTGCCGAGCTGAGCCGTACCACGCAGTGGAAAAGCGCCATTAGTGAGGCTCAAAGAAAGAGCCTACAAACTAATAGAACTGCCTAAGCAGAGCTCTGAAGAGTGGAGGATTCAGCAGGATGGCTCTCTTAAAAGAGAGGGAGCCTAACAACACTCAACCCTGGTAGTGGAACTCTTAAGAGTGGAGGTCTCAGGATAACGACACTCTAAAATGAGAGGAGACCTAGCTACACTCAACGTCAGAGACAGTTAGTGAGGCTCAAAAAAAGAAAGGTCCTACATACTAATAGGACTGCCTAAGCGGAGCTCTGGAGAGTGGAGGCTTCAGCAGAATGACTCTCTATACCGATAGGAGGCCTGGCTACACTCAACGTCCGAGTCAGTTAACAAGGCTCACAATAGAGCCTACGTACTTAATAGTACTGCATAAGCGGAGCTCTGGAGAGAGGAGGCTTCAGAAGTATGACTCTCTTAAATGAGAGGAAGCCTAACAACACTCAATCCTAATAGGGGAACTCTTAAGAGTGGAGGTCTCAGCATAACGATTCTCTAAACAAGAGGAGACCTGGCTACACTCAACACCAGAGACAGTAGTGAGGCTCAAAAAGAGCCTACATGGTAGGTAGGTAGGTAGGTAGCGTTTTACTGTCATTCAACTGTACATACAGAGTGCACATATGAACGAAATTCCGTCCCACTGGCTCATAAATACTGCACTAAACTAAACATGTACCATAAAATCAGTGTGTATATATGTATATATATAATAAAAATTGCAACAGTGTTCATTTAAAAGAATATAGCACTAAAGGGAATGACAGCAGCAAATAAATATTAAATAATGCACATAGTAATTAGCAGCATCTAAAACAAAATGATTGCACTTATTAAGCAGCAGCATATAGTACAATTATTGCACATCGTAAAAAGTACTATTATTTCAGTGTCCACATCTAGTACACATAAGACTCACTACAAAAAGATTCAGTCTTTGGTTAAAATGGTTAAGAGGTTATTTTTGAGTTCAGAAGTCTGATAGCTTGTGGAAAAAAGCTATTACAGAACCTTACTGTTCTGCACCGAATGCTGCGAAACCTTTTTCCAGAGGGCAGCAGCGTAAACAGTCCATAATGAGGATGGGTGGGGTCTTTTGCAATGTTTTGAGCACGAGTCAGACAGCGTTTGTGTGCGAGTACCTGGATGGAAGGCAGTGAAGAGCCAATGATCTTTTCCGCTGTCCTCACCACTCTCTGTACAGACCTCCAGTCAGAGGCTTTACAATCCCCAGACCATACAGAGATGCAGCTGGTCAATATGCTCTCTATAATGCCTTTGTAGACAGTACTGAGGATGGGAGAGGGAAGGTGTGCCTGTGCTGCTTTTTCCTGAAATCAACAATGATCTCCTTTTGTTTTTTCGACATTCAGGAGCAAGTTATTTGTGTTGCACCAATCCACTTGCTGTCTCACCTCCTCCCTATAGGCCTGTTCGTTGTCATCCTGAATGAGGCCCACCACTGTCGTGTCATCCGCATACTTCACAACATGGTTTGTACTGAACCTGGCACAGCAGTCATGGGTCATCATGGTAAATAGTAATGGGCTCAAGACACAGCCCTGAGGGGAGCCAGTGCTCAGAGAGATGATACTGGAGGTATGATTTTCAACCCACACAAACTGAGGTCTGTCTGTTAAAAAGTCCAGTAGCCAATTATCATACTTCACAACATGGTTTGTACTGAACCTGGCACAGCAGTCATGGGTCATCATAGTGAATAGTAATGGGCTCAAGACACAGCCCTGAGGGGAGCCAGTGCTCAGAGAGATGATACTGGAGGTATAATTTCCAACCCTCACAAACTGAGGTCTGTCTGTTAAAAAGTCCAGTAGCCAATTACACAAGGGGGTACCAAGGCCCAAAGGTCCCAGTTTGCTTACCAAATACTGGGGGATAATCGTATTGAATGCTGAGCTAAAATCCACAAATAGCATTCGCACATGAGTGTCCTTCTTCTCCAGATGGGCCAGGCTTAGATGGAGTACAGAGGATATAGCGTCCTCTGTGGAGCGGTTGGGTCGGTAAGCAAACTGGAAAGGATCAAACATAGGAGGGAGTCTTGAAATTATATGGTCCTTCACCAGCCTCTCGAAGCACTTTATCATTATAGGTGTAAGTGCAACCAGACGATAATCATTGAGGCATGTTATTGTGGATTTTTTAGGCACTGGTATTATAATAGCAGTCTTAAAACATGATGGAATGACAGCCTGATCCAGTGAGGTATTAAAAATGTCTGTAAGGACAGGAGCCAGCTGGTCAGCGCATTCTTTCAGCACCCGTCCTGGAATATTATCAGGACCCGCTGCCTTCTGGGTGTTGACTTTTTTCAGGGTCCTCCGGACGTCAGCTACATTAAGACTGAGTACCTTCTCATCTGAATGAGGAACACTTTTCCTTGCAGGAGAGTTATTCAGTGCTTAATATGTATTAAGTTCATTAAGAAAATATATATTGTCCTCGCATTGCACCAATCCACAAGCTGTCTCACCTCCTCCCTATAGGCCTGTTCGTTGTCATCCTGAATGAGGCCCACCACTGTCGTGTCATCCGCATACTTCACAACATGGTTTGTACTGAACCTGGCACAGCAGTCATGGGTCATCATGGTGAATAGTAATGGGCTCAAGACGCAGCCCTGAGGGGAGCCAGTGCTCAGAGAGATGATACTGGAGGTATGATTTCCAACCCTCACAAACTGAGATCTATCTGTTAAAAAGTCCAGTAGCCAATTGCACAAGGGGGTACCAAGGCCCAAAGGTCCCAGTTTGCTTACCAAATACTGGGGGATAATCGTATTGAATGCTGAGCTAAAATCCACAAATAGCATTCGCACATGAGTGTCCTTCTTCTCCAGATGGGCCAGGCTTAGATGGAGTACAGAGGATATAGCGTCCTCTGTGGAGCGGTTGGGTCGGTAAGCAAACTGGAAAGGATCAAACATAGGAGGGAGTCTTGAAATGATATGGTCCTTCACCAGCCTCTCGAAGCACTTCATCATTATAGGTGTAAGTGCAACCGGACGATAATCATTGAGGCATGTTATTGTGGATTTTTTAGGCACTGGTATTATAATAGCAGTCTTAAAACATGATGGAATGACAGCCTGTTCCAGTGAGGTATTAAAAATGTCTGTAAGGACAGGAGCCAGCTGGTCAGCGCATTCTTTCAGCACCCGTCCTGGAATATTATCAGGACCCGCTGCCTTCTGGGTGTTGACTTTTTTCAGGGTCCTCCGGACGTCAGCTACATTAAGACTGAGTACCTTCTCATCTGAATGAGGAACACTTTTCCTTGCAGGAGAGTTATTCAGTGCTTAATATGTATTAAGTTCATTAAGAAAATATATATTGTCCTCGCAGGGTAGTGGAGCAGCCTTGTAGTCTGTGACAGTCTTTATGCCCTGCCACATGCACTTGGTATTTGTAGGATCAGAGAAGAAACCCTGTATTTTCTGGCTATAGGCCCGTTTTGCAGCCCTAATGGCCCGATTCAAGTTGGCTCTTGCTGTTCTGAGCACGACCATATCACCAGCTTTAAACGCAGCATTTCGTGCCTTTAGCATTGCACGTGCCTAGCCAGTCATCCAGGGCTTCTGATTTGCTCGTATAATTATGTTCTTAGTGACACCTACATCCTCCGTGCACTTCTGAATATACGCAGACACAGACGCAGCATACTCCTCCACATTAATATGTTGATTAACATACTAATATACATACTAATACTAATATACTAATTAATACTAATAACATACTAATATATTGCCCAAGCGGAGATCCAGAGAGCGGAGTACTCGGCATAACAACTCTCTACTCGCTCCTATGTGCCAAACGGAGCAAGCACTCAGCACAACTACCTTCTAAAGCGAGGGGAGTGCAATCATGCCCCCTACCCTCAGGGAGACACGTACACAGTATGAAGACCCTCAAGTGAGGGGAGTACTGCCAAGCTCAACCTAAAGTACTAGGTTCAAGAACAGCTGATCAGGGAGGCTCACAGAGAGCCTAGCAACCCAAATATCTTTTTTTTTTTTTTAACAAAAGTTATAGGGAGCAGAGTGCTCAGCATAATTCTCCAAGTGAGGAGCACAACCCATGCTCAACCTATGTGCATGGAACCTGGGCTGAGTGGAGGAAGAGGCGGAGGCTCAGATGAGGAGGCTCAGAAAAAGCTTATCAACTCAAAAACCTGCTATCACACCAAGCTTAGAAAGTGGAGAGCGGATGCCTCCTCCTTTCCTACTCTTCACCAATAATGTGGATACCAGAGGGGGGCATATATTATGAATAAATACACCCCAATAACTCACAATAGATATCTCACATTACACATTTCCTCATTCTGCTTAAGAAACAAGGAATTTTGAAAGAGAAAGCACTGCTCGTCAAATTCCTTCCATGCCCCGCCTACAATCCCCATGATCGGTCTGCCTAACTGCCTCGACAGCAGCAAGACCTGAACCACGGGTGGAAGGCGCTCAATTCTCATACATTTCAAAGAGAATGAAGCATACGAGGAATATCTCAAAGCGATCGCATCTCGCAGCGTGCATTTAGCTCCCCAGAGAGCTAAACATGCTCTGTTCAAAACTAGATTCCCTCAAGAATGTATAAAACATTTTCCTCCCTCCTTTGTCCTCCTCCTCCCCCTCTTTCATCAACTCTAACAGCTGACGACTTTGCCACGTTCTTCATTAATAAAATTGAGAATTGAGAAATGAGAATTGAAACCATCAGTGCACAATTTTCCACACCACAATCTGTCAAGCACATCTTACCAGCAAACATATACTCGTTCACATCCTTCTCTTCACTCTCTGAGGCAGAATCTCCAATCTCATCCTTTCTAATCATCCTACTACTTGATTCGCTTGATCCTATTCCATCTCATCTTCAAGTAATTTCTCCTGCAGTTGTACCTGCACTCACTCACATCATTAACACATCCCTTCACACTGGTGTTTTTCCCTCAGCATTTAGACAGGCTCGTATAACCCCACTACTTAAGAAACCCACCCCTAACCCATCTCTTTTAGAGAACTATAGACCGGTTTCCCTTCTTTTTTTCATTGCAAAATCACTTGAACGAGCTGTGTTCAACCAAGTCAATGCCTTTCTCACACAGAACAACCTCCTCGACAGCAACCAATCTGGATTCAGAAGTGGATATTCAACCGACACAGCCTTGCTCTCAGTTGTTGAATCCCTAACACTGACAAGAGCGGATTCCAAATCTTCAATACTTATCTTGCTGGATCTGTCTGCTGCTTTTGACACTGTTAAACACCAGATCCTCCTGTCAACCCTATTGACAAAGGGCATCTCAGGAAACGCACTCCAGTGGTTTAAGTCTTACCTCTCAGATAGGTCCTTCAAGGTATCTTGGAGAGGTGAGGTGTCCAAGTTTCAACATCTAACTACTGGGGTGCCTCAGGGCTCAGTTCTTGGGCCATTTCTCTTCTCTGTCTACATGGCATCACTAGGTTCTGTCATTCATAAACATGGCTTTTCATATCCCTTCTTTGCTGATGACACTCAACTCTACCTCTCATTCTATCCTGATGATCCGACGATAGCTGCAGCTTGTCTAACAGACATTTTTTGCTGGATGAAGGACCATCACCTTCAACTCAACCTTGCCAAGACAGAACTACTTGTGGTTCCATCAAACCCATTTCATCACAATTTCACTATCCAATTAGGCATATCAACCATAACTCCTTCAAAAACAGCCAGAAACCTTGAAGTTATGATTGATGATCAGCTGACTTTCTCAGACCACATTGCTAAAACTGCCCGGTCCTGCAGATTTGCTTTATTCAACATCAAGAAGATCAGGCCCTTTCTTTCGGAACATGCTTCACAACTCCTTGTTCAAGCTCTTATAAAATTCAAGGCATTAATGTTTGCCTACAAAACCACCACTGGTTCTGCACCCCTTTACCTAAATTCATTACTTCAGACTTATGTGCCCTCTAGAAGCTTGCGTTTTCTGCAAGTGAACGCCGCTTTATTGTGTTATCCCAAAGAGGCACAAAATCACTTTCACGGACTTTAAAATTAAATGTTCCCTCCTGGTGGAATGACCTGCCCATCTCAATCCGACTCCATCTTCAAGAATCGGCTAAAAACACATCTCTTCCCTCTTTTTTTGACCCTCTAACTCTAGCATTCTCTATTCTAAGTCTGTTTATAAAAAAAAAAACTAACACTAGCTTTTCTAATCTTTTTGTATTCTATTTGTTTTCTTTATATTTATTATACAATTATCAAAAGCAAAAAGGCCTCTAACACTAGCTTGCTCTATTCTTTTTCTATTCTATCTGTTTTTCTTTTTATTTATTATATAATTAAAAAAAAAAACCTTGCTACGTGTACTGCATTAAGCTAACTGAGACTTGTTATAGCACTTGCATATCATTGCTCTTTTGTTGATTTTTATTGCTTCCATTGTCCTCATTTGTAAGTCGCTTTGGATAAAAGCGTCTGCTAAATGACTAAATGTAAATGTAAGTATCAGGCGAAAACAGAAACTGCCGCGAATGCATCGCATTAAGCCTGTTTAACTCCCTCGAGAGGCGAAAGCGCTCATGTAAACACTGACTGTAATCTCGAGTAAGGCCTGGGACAGACTAGATGATTTTCAAATCTTAAACGATTTTAAAACCATGGGAGACCACAGACATGAAGACAGTTCAACCAATTTTTAGCCTTATAATCCTCTGAATGCACACACTAGACGATTCGACCAGATCGCGAGACCACACACTTGATGATTGTAGGAACGATTTCACAGTGACACGTGATCTCACGGACACTTGTGAGATCAAACGTGACTAGGGAAGAAAAACAAATAGAGGACAATCAACATTGTCAGCTGACTCTCCCGGCGCGCCTTCTGTTTCACAGTTAAAAACAAAGCATAACAAAGAATATGGGTGATGTTCTCTGCTTTCATGCCATGTTTGTGGCTGCCAAGTTTCAGCTGTAGAAGCACGTAACATCCGGTAGGTGACGCTTGCTCGCTCTCATTGGCCATCACTGGTATCACGTCAGAGGCAGCCCGGTAAATATCAAACTTGTTTAGGCCAGCCTAAAACGCAAGCTTTACCTCTGCTCTTGTAGTCCCGCGAATGCATACAATGAGCGCATTCTGCTTTCTCGTGAGTCCAACGGACATTACACAATTCTAAGAGATAAGTGCGTTCAATTCTCTCAAGAACTGGACACGCGTGCTTCCATACACGACGGACTCGTTTGAAGACAAAGAAGAGAATGACGTATTCCTCAGGTGCCCTTTTATACCTGCAGTCGCTCTATTAATTATGTCATAGGCAGCCACCTGCCAATGTCAAGTTAATTGGCGTTTTTACATTCACGCTTCAGACACCGGTCATGCTGAAGGCATTCCCCATAGCGCCCCCTAGGGGACGCAGTGTGGAGTTCCCTTTCGAAAGGGAACTGTTGTTATTAAACTCCAATGTATTGTAGAACTGAAACAACAACCAAGTAAACAAAATACATAATATATTTGTACAAATAAATGTACTTTTAACACCTCAGCTCATGGACCATTCATCCATCCAGATACGCTTTAGGATAACTG